ATTTGAAGTCTGTAAGTGGCAAGTAAGCAAGAAATGAAAAAAGAATTCTAAGCGATGTAACATTTTCTTATTCTTTTCGTACTTTCTTGATTTCGCTGTCCTCCATTTTCCGATTGTATCTTGCAACGTCTCATTTGCTGACAACGATACATTCTAGCTTCCCAGGATTTCCTGTAGTTTTCTTTCTGTGTCTGCTATCAACACGGTGCCAGCTTACTTTCTGAAGATCGTGTCAGCCAATAATAAATCCTGACAGGACTTCTATTTCTCTCAGAATCGGCTCGCTGTTAACGTTCTTGTCTGGCAAGAAGACCTATCCTTGTCTTACACCGCTTTCTATTTTTGTGTATTTCCGAAAAAAATAGTCAATTAACTCTGCGTGTTTTTCTTTCTTTCAGCCGGGTTTAAATATTGTGCACCATGCGGACCAAACCCTCAACACTTTTTGCTTGTGGCAGTCCATGCTGCTTGGGGGTCATAGTAAACGTCATGACCACGCCATCCTGATGACCGGCGTCGACATCTGTTCGAATAGGAATGCTCCTTGTGATACCCTAGGTACGTATAAATGCACACTTAACAACATCCGTCTACTTGTCTTTATATCTCAGAATGTTTCACGAATACGCATAGATATCATTATCAGGAGCCAAATGATGAAACGATGTATCAATTGGACACAGTTAATTGATTTTTTTCAACAAAACCTCTTTTCTTGTCAATGTACTTAATTCAATAGTGAATAGCTATTATTTGGATTAAGCATTATACAATGAAAAACTCGTCTTAAACTTCGTCTAAGGCTACGAACTTATGGATCCACACACGTATATTAAAAAAAAAGTTAATTAATCTCTAGGCCATGACTAAAAATAAAATTAAGTATTATCCCGAAACAAAAGAACGAGTAATGGACCGTCTCCTCCTCCTCCTCTTTACCTCAAACACTCAGTAACCTATGTATAGAACACGTTTAAAGTGTATTAACACTTGACATAATTAATCCTTTAATGAATTAGACTAATGAACATAGTTTGAAAAAAAATACACAATGGAATTTCCCCGAGGCTTTCTAAGAAGGGGAAATAATTTGCAAAAGTACAACATGGAATTTCCCCAGAGCTTTCTACTAATGGGAAATAATTTGCAAAGGTACACCATGGAATTTCTCCGTGGCTTTCTAATGAGGGGAAATAATTTGCAAATATACACCATGGAATTTTCCCAGAGCTTTCTAATAATGGGAAATGATTTGCAAAAGTACACCATGGAATTTCCACGAGACTTTCTAATAAGAAGAAATAATTTGCAAATATACACCATGGAATTTTCCCAGAGCTTTCTAATAATGGGAAATGATTTGCAAAAGTACACCATGGAATTTCCACGAGACTTTCTAATAAGGGGAAATGATTTACAAAAGTACACCATGGAATTTTTTCGAGGCTTTCTAATAATGGGAAATAATTTGCAAAAGTACACCATGGAATTTCCTCGTGGCTTTCTAATAAGGGGAAATAATTTGCAAATGTACACCATGGAATTTCCCCGGAGCTTTCTAATAATGGGAAATGATTTGCAAAAGTACACCATGGAATTTCCCCGAGGCTTTCTAATAAGGAGAAATAATTTGCAAATGTACACCATGGAATTTCCCCGTGGCTTTCTAATAAAGGGAAATATTTTGCAAAAGTGCACCATGGAATTTCCCCGTGGCTTTCTAATAAAGGGAAATAAAGAAAACCTCTTTCGGTGAAGGGTTAAAATAATCAAATAATATGAGCAAAAATGCACCTGTTTGACATTATCTTGCCATTGTGCATACATGTCCAATCATCAAGTTGAAACATAAATATTTTTGTTTGAAAACGTTTACTCGAGCATCAGAATCGTGTTTTAAAACTTTCGTAGACACAACAAACTGATGTTTTTTTAGCAATCTTTCAACACATAACAACAGAGAAAACAAACAAGCAATGAATTTAAACCCGAAGAAAAAATCCTTAAAAAAATATTCACCCATAATATGGATTCACACGGCTCGAAATCAGACGCATGTTCGTAATTTTAGTGTTAAAGTGTTTTAAGCACGTATGCTTTATTTATCTGCCAGTATAGAACCCATAAAACATTACGGTTTATTTATATTTGAATCGGCACTTCTACCAATAATAAGAATATCTGCGGATTCTGGTTAGTATAAAATAAAATGTCGTTCCCTTGCACACCGACGAAGAAGTATCTGTGCTTTGTGTTAAGAGTATTAAACATGCCATACACATTTACACTGATCATAAAAAATAGCAACATTCTAAATATATGTTTCAGTTTACTGAAACTCACAAATATTAAAAATTACAAAAATAGATAACTTGATAAAATACAAAGATGCAATGTCATTGGTCCTAACCTGGCATCATGGCTTCAGTCACTTTCTCACCGCCATATATATAGCTTCCCTGTGACTTTTCCATAAATATTTCCATCGTAATTGTTCTGTTAATCTTTGGTATCTAGATTTTATGAATTTAAGTGCAATACTTGATTGGCGGTAAAGTCTCATCATTTTACAGTTAAAATGGCTAGATGTAACCGGAAGTTCTATGCTAACAGTTTCTTCTCTCGCACTTGTTGCTTGTGGAACTCTCTTCCGGCTTCTTGCTTTCCAGTCAACTTTGACCTTCAAAAATTTAAATGCAATGTCAGCCGTTGTCTTCGTTTTAATTCCTGTTTGTTTGTTTGCTTATGGGCCAAATTGCCGAAATTTAATTTTCTTTGGAGCATTACTAATTTCTTTCTCTGGTAATATATTTCTGGTAATTTTTTTAAATTTTACAAAAATGTTTTGCTGGTAATTTTTTTTATATATAAGAATGAATTACTGGCATTTTTACTATAATTTCTTTTATACTTTCATCGTGTTTTGAACACAGGTTGGAGGTTAACTAATCGCCCATAACTGGGACCCTAACAGCTGCCACCATTTCGGTTTCGGGTAGACCCGGGAACAACAACAATTAAGAGTGATTCCCCGCTTATCAAAACCTCCCTATCAGAGCACTTGATACCAGATGTAGTTTATCGTCATACCCAGGACGGCACTATTCTTTTATTGTTCTCTCTCCTTAACGATCATTATTTCTGTTGCCAATTCTCAAGAACAAAGGAAACGTAGAAATGTTTAGATTTTATTCCAGTTGTAATCATCGCTTTTAAAAGAGCGAAAAGTGAAGGTAGTAAAAAAAAAATCGGTGTCAGGGGAAACATCTTACTGCGGGGCATTTGGTCTCGTGCTCCCGCTGTTCATCTCGAGGTCCTCGACAAAATCCAGAGATGCGTATGCAACGTGGTCGGTCCTGATCTGGCCTCCCGTCTGCAGTCGCTATCTCAGAGACGTGCTGTGGCTTTCCTCAGTCTTTTCTATAAGTACTTTCATGGCAACTGTTCCGATGAGCTACTTTCACTGGTTCCCAAACTGCATGGATTTAAGCGTGCTACTAGGTTGGCATCTCGGTCCCACCCTTTAACTGTTGAAACGTCTAAATAAAACCATCTCTTCAACTCCAGCAGCTTCTTATCTCGCACCTCCTGTCAGTGGAACCCCCTTCCTATCACTTGCTTCCCTAATAGCTATAATCTTCAAATATTCAAATGTAATGTCAATCGACATCTTCTCATGCCTTGACCTTAACCCCTAACTTTCTCTTTATCCTTTTCCCAAACACTCCTCTTTACTCTTATTCTCACTCTCTGTAACCGCTGGCGTGCTGTTGGAATGATAATAATCCTTCTAAATATGATCGGATGTTTGGTTAATAAGCGAAGTCTCCCTTCTTAGAAAAAAGTTTTAAAGCAGATGGAACAATGAAATTGAAGTTTTTTTTTTCCAAACTAACAAGCGTTGATTGATAAGTAAGGTCACCAAACCGAAAAAGTTTTCAATAATGTAGCTGGTAACAAAACGAAATAAATTTCTTTTTAAAATGAAATTTGATTGGTAAGTAAGGGCACCAATCCTATAAAATAATCGATTGATTGATTTGTTGTCACATTTTGCGCTCTTTACTGACTATAAGACCAGTGCAAGGGTCTCATAGAAATCCATGATATGGAGCCCCCAGAATCTATTAGGCCCCCACTATACTACATCTCAATTTTCATAATGTAGTAATCATATAAAATACAAATTTTATTGTAACCTAGTTATACACAATAGTGGATAATATGCAACATAGGTGAACAATTCAACTAGAAAAATTGGAAATGAAAACAGTGTATCTAAATATGAATTAGAGACATCTCAGAATAGACCATGTTTTGCGGCAATTTTTTAGCATCAACTTGTGATTTTTTTTTCTTCTTAAGAAAGTTGAATAATTTTAACGCATTCAACGTTTTGTATAAAAAAAAGATGGACGCAAAAATAAATAACCCAGAATGACGTCAAAATCTGCCAAAATTTTTCATCCTTTAATACTAATAGTCAGCTATGCTTAGTTTCATTTGTAACATATATAAATGTAGGCAGAAATAAAAGCAAATGTGAACTGCCTGGGCCCCGAATCACGCTTGGTCCCCCTGGTCGGGGTGTTCGGGAGTAGTATGCACCAGCCTTGAATGACTGTAATACGACCTTGCGTCGGATTGATGCAAAAACAGTTAAAAACAGTTCTCCTTTGCGCTGTTTAAGTGTTCGCATGGTTTTATTGCTTTTAGACGTCTGTGAATTTCGATTGGCGCACAACCTTCTGTTGCTAACCATTCTATCACTGTTTTCAGCGTAAATCGGCGAAAAAATAATGGTTGTAGAATTAAAAACGGAAAGGAGAGTTAAGGAAAATGTTAATATTTACTGCAAAAGATTTTGTTAACCAGTTTAAAATCCAAGAGTTTTTTTTTTCTTTGTTTTTTTTTTTTTTTTAACTTAACCGGAAAAATAAAAGTTGCTATTACGCTAGCAGATAGATTTAAAATTTCGATAAAAAAAAACCTCATTTCCTTAAGACTAATAGAAAAAGGTTTTATATGAATAAACGTTTTCCTCTCAGGGCGGAAATATTTCATGTTTGCATTTTTCCAGATTAACCTTGTTACTCGTCATTCACTCATTCTTTCACTCAACACCTTCCTCCGGATTCCCAGGCTTTCTCTATATTCCATTTCCTATCTTTCTAATTAACTAGCTAGCTTTCAAGCTAATATATATATATATATATATATATATATATATATATATATATATATATATATATATATATATATATATATATATATAACTTTTATGTATATGTGTGTCTGTGCACCGAGATGAAGATATGAATATACGCATGCGTGAAAGAGATGGAGAAAGCATTATAAAAATGAGGAATTTCGTTTCAGTCTCAGAAGACTTTTTTTTAAAAGAGAAACAATTTAAGGGAAATAAATCTAGGCTTTTCAAATATCCGAGTTTAACATGTTTCGTTGAATAATATAGACAAATTGTTTCTACTTATTTTTAAACTGATCCTTTTCAGTTGTCAAATCCGTTTCTTGATGCTAAGATGAAATTCATCAAGGAAGGCGTTGTGGGTTTTTGCTTTTTTGAACCCAATTACTTTCGATCTTTTCAAAGATCATCTTCAGAGGTAAATAGCAAAGACAAAGTTATTGTAACTGCGATAAAATCTTATTATTATAACTATAACAGAACGCCTTCATGCGTGTTTAAAAAATTCATTGCTTAATATATATATATATATATATATATATATATATATATATATATATATATATTAGCTTGTTTCGCTAGATCAGTTACGACTGAAAAGTGAGTTCGATCCTCACTAGGTGTCCCATACTTTCGGCCTGGTGCCACATCTAAGCTACGCTTAGGAAATAACTATATATATATTTTTTAAGACATTTTAATGTTTATACATTCTTTTTATAGATACAAATATTTAAGTAAATGCTGTTTATAATAAACAGTATTAAACAACATTTACCGGCTTGAATGTTGTTTAATACTGTTTATTATAAACAGCATTTACTTAAATATTTGTATCTATAAAAAGAATGTATAAACATTAAAATGTCTTAAAATAATTGTCGAACTTTGTCCATTTCATTATATATATATATATATATATATATATATATATATATATATATATATATACACACAAGTATAGGATTGGTGTATACGGAATAAATTCCAATAACCAACAAATACTATTCTTAAAAGAGTGCTTAATACAGAGTAGAGCAAATATAATCATATATTCGAAAATTATAACACAAAAATGTTATAAAATCACTACAAAAATAGCCATTTTGTTTCAGCACTTCTAGTGACTTCTCAAATGACTTGAAAAGACTCCAGAAGTGTTGAAGGATTATCAGACTCCATTAGAAATATACTAGTAGAAAACACAAATATATTAAGTGCATCCACCTGTAAAAAAAGATTAAAAATAATGGAAGCTTTAATAATAAAAAAGAAAAAGCCAACTCTTAACAATATTAACTACGAACAAGGACACAATGTGCTAACCGTATTCGGAAATTAAAACATCCCTACTACACACTAAGACATACACATAATGCACAGACGCAATAATGGCTAGACGTATAGCCGAAAGCGCATGGAAATATAAAACATTTGGACAGCTCTTACATACCATTTATCCAGAAAAGAAAGCTCTTCTTCGAACACAAGAAAATTTAAATAAAAAGGTTAAACGTAGTACCTTGTCTGTCGTTTTTAATGAAACATGCATAAAATATAATTATATATATATATATATATTTATATACTAAAATATAAATATAATAATTATAATATATATACTAAAATATAATAATAATTATATATATATATATATATATATATATATCGTGGACTCTCCAGTCGTAGATCGACGCGGCCTGTTGACCTGCGCCTACCGGTACCCTTTTTTTACGACGTATGAGGGTCAGGCCACTCAGTTCTCAGTAACCGACAGCCAGACAACTTGCACATATGGTTTGGTTATAGTGGTGATGGTTTTGTGCAGAACAAAGCACACTTTTTGAAGGGCCGAATACAGAGACCTGGTGCACTACGTGCCACAAGGTCCCCAAACGACCCTCCGCAGCTTTGGAATTCAGATTAATCATTCTCCTAGACCAGTTGCCATCCAAGGCTATAGAACCCAGGCTGTTCTGCTATTTACCCATAACTGGGTAGGGGTGGAAAAGAGGATTCATATCTTTTCCAAGGGCATTAGCACGTAAGGGAATGTAACGGATTGTACTGAAATTCGAACTCGGCTCTCCGATTCCTCAATCCGAGCCGCTATCCATTACTAGACCGTGTTTCCATATATATATATATATATATATATATATATATATATATATATATATATATATATATATATATATATATATAGATGTAGATAGATATTATGATACCACTATAATTTACTGTAAAAGCCTACAGCATATATACTTCAACCCCAGGGAAGTCACAAGGAATATTAAAAATGTATAGTTATGGCTTGCTATGAACATTACATAATAAATTTTCATTATTTACATTTTTTTCTGAAAATATCTTCGATGTGTTTTAACAGAGATTGAAGCTGCGACACTGTGATAAAAAAAAAAACAACGCAATGGACTCTGGGAAATAAGCATTCCAAAAGTTAAGCATGTCATTAAGAAACGGAAAAATTTCGTTAGAAACAAAGAAAAGAGTTTTGGATTGATATATTTTATTCATCCTTCCACTGGAAGTGAATGCTGGACAATCTCCCCACTGACGAGGAGAAAACTAGAGGCAACAGAAATGTGGTTCTACAGAAGGATGCTGAGAATTCCATAGACGGAGCGTGAAAGCAACAAGAAATTCTTAAAGAAAATGGTAATAGAACACTTATACTCAGAATCAGGGAAAGGCAACTGAAATTCCTTGGAAACATGATGAGGTAGGGCATGAAATGAAACTTAACGTTCATTGCGGACATAACGGCAGGTGTAGGCAGCGAGCCACTTACTTGGTGTGCTTGTGTGAATGGATTCGTGGAACCCCAGGTGAGAGCCTTAGCAAAGGGAGAAAATTGTTAAGGGGAACAAGGAATAGGAAGCTGTAAAAGCCATGATCGCCTATATCCTGAAGGTGGCCGAAGACTTGTGCACGGCCATTATTAAGGATTGCCTAACATTCTTTCCTCATATTCAGAGTCTCTGCTACAAAAGCAAATAATTGGGAAAATGATTCCAACAGACCCAGCAATTTTACAGATTTTTTTTTTCTGTAGAAATGGTGAGCTTGTTAGAATTTAATTCCATTAGAAACATTCACTTGTAAGCTGTCAATTGTTAGACATTTATCATATGGCCAGTGCTTCATTTACTTTTTCAAAAATTTCATTCGCGCTTCATTCATCTTTCTTTTTTTTTCTTTTTATCTAATCTTTTTGTGACAGTTCCTCGACGCTTTATTTTTCCCCCTTTTCATTTTTTGTGTGACATTTCGGAAGTTCATTCTTTTTTTCTCTTTCTAATTACGTCCGTGTCTATCATCGCTATAATAATTTATTATTACCATTACGTCCGTGTCTATCATCGCTATAATAATTTATTATTACCATTACGTCCGTGTCTATCATCGCTATAATAATTTATTATTACCATTACGTCCGTGTCTATCATCGCTACAAAATTTATTATTACTATTACGTCCGTGTCGCACATTAACGTTTTCAACTGAAATTCTGTCCTTAAGTCAAGGTGTCAACAAGATACCTCACAACTTAAGAACTTCTCAGAGAAATATCGCAGAGTAAAAATAATGCCAGTTTTCTGACGCTCTACAATCTTGGCCTCAATTATAATTCTCTTTAAGCGCTTTTTTCAGTTTTATAAGTGGCGTTCCAAGCGCATCCATTACTAAAGGAATTAGTTCTACATTCATGTGCCATAGCTTTTTTAGATCCTTAACCAGGTCCTATTTTCTTCTATATTTTCTGTATTATTATTCTTATTGTTGATGATGATGTTGAAAGAAAGAAATTGGTATACTAACAAAGTAACGCTAGACACAAATATACAAAGTCCAATATATCAATCATGGCAACAAGTCTAATGAGGGTATACCAGACACATACAGCGTATCACAGTATGGTGATAAGTCTTTGATAAGAGCAGCGTATAACATTGCAGGTGGCGCCTAATGAGAAACTCCCCAGATCAATTAACACAGTCCACATACGATCTTTGATTGGGGGTTGGCTGCCTCTTCCTTTATTTTTAAAAAATAGACTTGACCCATAATGATCCCCACATCACACCTGCTCAGGAACAGGGATGCACAGTGTGTCAGTCCGTAGGGGACATGTCCACCTGTTTATGGTTAAGCAACTGAAAAATATATTTGTTACTGAATGGGATATTTACTGTAAACTAGAGAGTAACACGCAGCGCCTTCTTGGCTTCACGTTTTCAACAGATTTGAAGTGAAACGACTACATCGAATCAATGGCTGCATCTACTGCAAGGAAAGCTGGGTCACTGTGTCGTGCCAGAAGATCTTCCTCATCAGAATCCATCTTGCAAATTTACAAATCTACCATTCGTCTGATACTTCTGTCATATCTGGTTTGGTGCTCCTGCTATTCATCTCAAGATTCTTCACAAAATTCAAAGCACGGTCTGCAATATAATCGATCCTTACTTGGCATCTCGACTTCAGTCATTTTCTGACCGACATTACATGGCTTACCTCTGTTTTTTCCACAAATATTTTCATGGCATTTGCTCCGAGGAGCTTTTTTTTCTGGTGCCGCGACTACATGAATTGAAGCATGCTACTAGATTGTCCTCTAGGTCCCACCCGTTTACTGCTGAAATAACTAAATTAAACCGCCACTTCTACTCCAACAGTTTCTTTACTCGCACTTCCCCGCCTGTCGCCTCTACGACTTGCTTCCCTGATAACTACAATCTTCAAAAATTTAAATACAACATCAATCACCATCCTCTATCTTCTTGAATCCCGTTCATTTTTTTCCCTTTCCTCAACCCTCCCTATACTCATTCTTTTCTCTCACCTTCCCACCCTTTAGCCTACTGCATACTAGTGGCATTCCCGCCTTGCTTGGGATGAAAGGATTAAAAAAAATCTCATCTTAATTGATAATAACAAAGGATGTCCATTTTGACTCTTCAATCAATTATAATCAGGAACTATGAGAACCATGCTTAGTGTAGCATCAGGCCATTATTATTATTATTATTATACAAATTTTCTTTCGTGCCCCAACCAGTGATCTAAGGTCAGAAATGTCTTCATGACGTTTTCCACTGATCATTGTTTCAAAAAGAAAACTATGGTCACACATATAACATAGATGAAGCCCTTCGTAAGGTGTCAGCTGAACTTGTGAGTAAATTTTTTTCTATTTCTTGGGCTACTAGGAATCCTTTCAATGACTCTTTCGGAACCTTTTCCTATTAATCCGAGGTCCCCAACTACAACTGGAGTTATTGATGTCCTCATGTACCACATTTCTGAGATTTCCACTTCAAAATCCTTGTATTTTTAAGATCTTCAAAGGTACATTACAGTGTTCAGTGACTGCCATGTCAATAAGAAAGCATATTCTGTTTTTGTGGTCTTTGATTACGATGTCTGGAAGATTAGCTTTGATTGTTCTGTGTGTATTGTAAAGTCCCGTGAAAATGTTACATGAAATTATTATTATTATTATTATTATTGATTTCTGGCGTTTACATATTTCTTTTCCGCCCAGGGACCTAAGGTTAGAAATGGCATCATGACACTTTCCACTGACAAAAAAAAAATATTACATGGATAAAGCCCTTCGTAAAGTGTGGGCTGTACTTGTCAGAACAATTTTTTGTATCTCCTTGAGGCATTGACTTCCAGGAATCCCTTCAATTAGTCTACTGCAATCTTTTCCAACCAGTCCTAGGGCTCCAACTACAACAGGGATTGTTGATGTTCCCATATGCCACGTTTTCGAGATTTCTATTTAAAGGTCCTTGTATTTTGACAGCTTTTTGAATATCTTCAAAGATACATTGCAGTCAGCAGGGACTGCCATATCAATAAGGAGGCACCGTTTTTGTTTGTAGTCTTTAATAACAATATCTGGGCGGTTGGCTTTGATTGTTCTGTCAGTGTGTATTGTGTAGTCCCATAGAATTGTAACAGGTCCTATCTCCGTAACCGGGTCTGGGTGGTGTTCATACCAGTTTCTTTCAGTTTCCTTCACGTAGAAGTTTCAGATTTTCCTGTGCAGATATTGGCCCACTCTGTCATGCCGGGTTTTATATTCAGTGGGTGCCAATATCGTGCAACCTGATACAAGATGATCAATCGTTTATTATTATTATTATTATTATTATTATTTTCCTCGTGGACTTTCGTTTTCAACGGGAGATCGTGATTTATAGGTCTTCTCCTGGCCTCAAATAGACAGCACCTTTTCACAGAATATTTGCAGTGCCAAGCAAGGCGGACTTCTAAAGTGATCGGATACTAGGATTTATTCCGATTTTCCTAATGAAAGTCTTTAGGTTCAGTGGTATTGACTCCCCCCACCCCACCCTCGCAGACCCCCCCAAGGATTACTTGGATAATAATGGCCTGAACGCCTAAATTCCTGGCACCCTTAATCCTGAAATCAGGGTATTTTTTTAAACTTTCCAATTTCTTTAGCCTTGATATTATAGTCTCCAGAACCAGCCAGACCGATGAAGATGAATTTTTCTTATTGGTGTGTGTGTGTGTGTGTGTGTGTGTGTGTGTGTGTGTGTGTGTGTGTGTGTGTGTGTGTGTGTGGTTTTTTTTGGGGGGGGGATATTTTCAGTGTCAGTGATATCTGGCTTGGTGACACCAAATTATTATTATTATTATTATTATTATTATTATTATTATTATTAACACTTGTAACAAACCTATTTGATGCTGTCTTCGTCTAATCCACTTCTCTTTCGGCATTTTCGACATAACTCTTTCTGTATTTCACATTTTTATAATTTCTTCACATTTTTTCGACAGTTCACTCTTCTTGCGTCATTTCCGCCTGAAAAATCGTTTGTGACTTTCATTCTTCCTTTCATACTTCCCTTCTCTTTTGACAATATCTTTTTACCGCAATTCAATCACTTTCCTTTAAATCACTTTTTTTGACAATCTTTTACGACAGTTCACTCCCCCTCTTACACTTCGATTCCATTTCGACAATCTTTTTCACATCTTTTCAGTGCCCTTCTTGTTTCTTTACTTCTTTTTTGACATTCTTTTTTGGTCAGTTCATTCTTCCTTATTCGTCGCTTTTCCTTTGACAGTCTTGATTTACGTCAGTTCACTCCCTTTCTTGACTCTTCGCTTCTTTTTTGACATTTCTTTTACAACTGTTTATTCTTCCACTTGCTTCCCTTCTCTTTTGACAGTATATTTTTACAGTAGTCCACTCTTTCTTTTACTTATTTTATTTTTTGGATAATCTTTTACGACAGTTCACTCACACTTCCTTTCCCTTTCGATAATCTTTCTTTTACGTTATTTCTTGATTGTTCACTTTGTTTTACATTCTTTTACGCCATTTTATTCTTCCTCATATTTAGCTTCTCTTTTGACAATGTTTTTTTTTTTAGTCAATTCCGCCCCCTTCTTGTTTCATGTTTATTTATTATTTTTTGACAGATTTTTTCATATTTCATTTCTCTTTTGGCAACTTCTGATTCGTCCCTAAACTTCTCTGCACTTCACTTCTTTTCTTTTCTTAACGACATTACCTTCTTCCTCTCGTACTTCATTTCTCTTACCGCAGTTCTCTTTTCGACAGTTCATTTTTACTTTTTTTGCACTTAATCTCACTTCCGTTTTGACGTATGGTTTCTACATCGCACTTCTTCTTTTATTCTGCAGGTTATGCTCCTATTAAAGGCATGTGTAAAGAAACTCGAAGTTGCACAGTGAATGAAGACACTGGTCTGCCGACAGCCTTCACCGTAGCACACGAAATAGGTCATAAGTAAGTAAATCTTCCTCTCCTTCTATGTGTCGCGTCCATTCAGGACATAGGCGATCATGGCTCTCCAATTAATATCCCTTGTGATCCTTAGCAGTTTCTTCCTTTATTTTTAAATTCTTGACCCCTGTTCCGCCATCCATTCGCACAAGCTCGTCAGGTAGGCCGATCGCTGCTTTCTCCTTTCTCTCTTGCCCTCAGTACACTTTGTGAGGGGGTTAAGTTTTCTGAGCCCCCTTCTCTCATTATGTGTCTAAGAAATTTCAGCTCCCTTTCTGAATCTGTTCTTTTTAAGTCTTCTTCATAGCTTACTCGTTTTCTCCTTGGAATTCTCATCATCCTTCTGTATAACTACTTTTGTGTTGCCTCCAGTTTTCTCTTCATCGGTTGGAAGAATCTCCAGCAGCCATTGCCATGGATACCACATATAAATCCGGAACTCTTTTACATTGTTTCTAACGAAATTTTTCCGTATCTCAGAACCTTGCTTCGTATTTGGAACGCTTATTTATCTAGTCCAGAGTGTGTTTTGATCTCGGTGTCGCATTTTCAATCTTCTGTTAAAACACTTCTAACAATTTGTTTTCTGTTTCTTATTACCTTGCTTAGCTTTTGGAATGCATCGTCCAATATGTTCGGATTTCGGTATCATATTTTCCATCTTACTATAAAATTATTTAAAGTAAATTTACAATAATAGACATTAATCCTTGTATAAACCCTCTTGAAAAATCGATATGGTTGTGTTTGTAATTCTGGATGTTAGTTTTGATATTATTATTTGTGGTGTCATCTCGGTAGAGAATTTTAATCCGAAGCTAACGGTTTCAATTTCAGTGGATTCGAACAGGACATTTGCAAAATTAAGCTCATCCGATGAATCTCTATTTGCTAAATGAAATTAATTTTCATAATTTTCGTTTTAACTTGTTTATATGTAATTGCATTTATGCACATTTATTGTTTTCATTCTTGTTGTTATCACAACCGTTCGGATTTTGTTCCCCTCTGACCTTCATCAGGTGTATATCAATTTACATAACATTCTGAACTGAACCCATTATTTAATCCACACAGGTATACTGTTCTCGATCCACTGCCGATGTCTCGGGATATCTCGTTTATTTCTTATTCTTAGTACTTACTGTTCGCTCTGTTTCTACTGAGTCCATGAATACATTGCCCGGCCCCGGGATTGAAATCACAATTACTACGTCACCAAATTGTTTATGTGTGTATTAAAGTATTGCAAAACAGAAAATAGTCATTGCAAACAAATAAAAAAAGTGTTGAACTGTTATGTAATATCAGGTCCACTAATATGGCGGTGAATGCAGGAAGAGAGTTGAAGCAACAGAAATCTGGTTTTACAGAAAAGAAAACAAGCAAAAGACATTTGCTATCATAAATCAAACATGGAATATTAATTAATTCACTGTTAATCAAAAATAATTAGATAAAACAATCCTAATACAAAATACATAGTTACAGTAGCACAAATACAATAATGGATTTTAGAAAAAGATAAAAAATTCCAGTTGCATATTGAAACAATTTGAATGAAGGACATTGTTTTTGCTATGTGAAAAACTCATGCCTTTTCAGGTGACGCAATTGTTTTCTATGTGAAAAACTCATGCATTTTCAGGCGATGGGATTCCTTGTATACTATGTGAAAATCCCATGTGTTTTCAGACGACGGGGTTCCTTGTTTGCTATGTGAGAAATTCATGCGTTTACAGGCAATGCGATTTCGGGTTTGCTATGTGAAAAGTCATATGTTTTCAGGCGACACAACTCCCTGTTTGCTATGCGCAAAAGTCATGCGTTTTCATGTGATTCCTTGTTTCCTATGTGAAAAACTCACGCGTTTTCAGGAGACGCGAATCCTTGTTTGCTATGTGAAAAATGACATGCTTTTTCAAGGGACGTGATTCCTTGTTTGTTATGTGAAAAACCCATGCGTTTACAGACGACACGATTCCTTGTCTGCTGCGTGAAAACCTCATGCGTCTGCAGGCGACGGCATTCCTTGTTTGCTACGTGTAAAACCCATGTCTTTTCGTGCAAAGAGATTCCTTGTTTGCGATGAGAAAATATATGTGAACAATAACCAATAACTAAAACTCTTTCTTATAAGGACGTTCTTTAACAACATTTGACAAATGTGGATATCTTAATAGAATAAAAATTACCGTAACACAATATCACGAATTTAATCTCCTTAAAATATGGGGAACTGGGAACTAAAAAGAAAATGTCATGTTAAAAATAGACATATTTCCATTTTATTTACAGGGTGCGGATGTATTTAAGAGAACATATCCAGATGTGTTTAACTCATATCCTCCTGGTAGAAGTTTAAAATGACAGCTTCTTTTTTTTCCATATATTTAAACTATGAACTATAATTTGGGAAAGAGAAAAAATCCCATTTTTCATCTTGAGTCAGAAATTCGAAATTTGAGTAAAATGCTCAAAAGGAGGGAAAAAAAGTCAATTTAACAAACATCCGCCTAGTGACAGTTTTTCTTAATTTTATTTATTTATTTATTTTATTTTATTTTATTTTATTTATTTTTTTTTTTTTTACTTTCGGACACACTTCTAAAATATTAGGTTGGTGCAAAACTAATGACATAAGAATGTCGTTTTTTGACGTTAAAAAATACGTCAAAAAACGACATTATTACGTCATTATTTTTGCACCAACCTAATATTTAAATGTCTCCGGTGAACTTGAAAGACCCGTGAAAAATTCACGTTTTTCCTAGTTGAGTTTTCTAACGAATCTTTATTCTTCAGTTAATTATTGAAAGGTTAGCAAGCTTGTTTCGTTTTATCAGTTACGACTGGGTAGTGAGTTCAATCCTCACTAGCTACTTTGCTTAGTAAATCGCTATGCATTCTTGGAAGGATGTTTTTAATGGGTTGAGAAGAGAAAAATATAAGATTAAAAATAAATCCATTAACCAGTTTTAACCTGTGAAAATTTCACTGTTTTCCTATTTTAATATCCTGATGAATTTTAATTCTTTCGATAATTATTAAATAAGCCCATGACGAGTTCCACGACAATAAAATATCCGGAGAATTTCCTCTATCACATCTAAATATTTGAGCTTAACAACTTTAACAAAATATTGCAATAACAAACATAAATATGAATGCTAGTCGTTATTTTAAGAAGTAAGGGGATACAAATGAAAAATTTGAAATTGACAATCATTTCCATTTCACGGAACAGCCGTTAAACACTTCTATCTTTCCTTCTTTCTTTATTTCATTCATTTTCTCAATGAAACCAAGTAGTGTATTTTCCCCTCTTTCTACATGATCGAAAAAGAATAATCCATTATTTAGGGGGTATTGGCAAGGCGTAATGGCCATGCAAACTAACGAAATTAAATTTTGGTTTAACATTCCTAAAGAAGATTAGCCGTACAGTTTTCATTTTTTTTCTTCTTGACTGACTGATTTAAATCCCTTTGAGCATGACAAAATGGAAGGGATTATCCAATCCTTCTTAAAGATTAAGGAATTTAGCATCCGGTTTAAAATATCAAAGATGGCAAATACTTTACTTCGACATGGCTTGGTGTCTGTGCCTTTTTAAAAACAAAGATTTTTAAATACAACAATTATTCATAAATTACTCTTCTGTTAAAACATTTAGCACACTGATTCAGATTTGTTTTGTTTTGTTTTACGGCATATCAATCTCAATGGGTTATTTAATGCAGACAAAATTTTCTTTGTTCGTAATATTTTTTGATCTATCTATTTATCTCAGTCTATTTATATCTATCTATCTATTTATCTATCTTTCCCAGTATATATTTACTTGGTTTGTTTTGTTTTACGGCATATCAACACCTCAATGGGTTATTTAATGCAAACAAAATTTTTATTGCTGGTAATTTGTTTTTTTCAAATGTGTTGCTGGTAAAATTTTTTTTCCTTCAAAAATTTATTTCTGGTAATAATTCTTCAAAAAGTATAGCTGGTAATAATTTTTTTACAAAGTATTTCTGGTATTAAAACCTATTTTTACACTTTCATAGTGTTTTAACCCCAGTTTGGGGATTTAACTATCTGCCCATAGGTTGGACCCTAACAGGTGCTACTACCCCGGGTCAGAGTGGACCTGGGAACACCAGCAATTAAGAGGTGGTTCCACGCTCCTCAAAACCTCCTGATCATAGGCCTTGCCATTGGACGTAGTTTATCGTCTTACCCAGGAAGCCGGATGTAGTTTATCTTCATACCCAGGACGCACTGATACAGAAACATCAGTTATAAACTGATAGCTCTCCATCAAAACTATAATTATAAACAATAGCTTCATTTTCCCTACGCTAATGGGCGTGTAACTGATATAGGTGCAGCAAATGTACTTGGTGATCGGAGTTCAAATTCCGGTTTCGTCGCATATCTATTCGCATAAGTGTGCTTGAAAAAGTTAAATTCTG